CCTTATATGCAATCTTTCTCCTTTATATCATCACCTTTGACCTAACCACTCCCATGAATCCGGTGTTCATCTTGTTGCGCTGATGCGGTATGGCAACCTGGACCGATGCATATATGTACCTGGTCTTACGTTGTAGCTGACTGACTGACTGACCCTAGGGAGTCCACCTGCTTCAGTTTGGACACCCGGCTTGTATCACAGCCTTCACACAAATCAAGTGATCTGTGTGGCGCATATGTATTTGGTGCCTCCTAGTACTAATGTTTATGCGTTCAAATAAATAAATAAACCTACTATAGCGTTCTTATGGTCTTTTTGCAATCTACTTAGGGTTACATTTAGGTCCAAATATATGCTTAAGGGATTAACGATGAAATTTGGCAGTTCGTTTATTAACCTAGATGCGTTTCTAACTTTTGTTATTTTTCCTTATTGCAGCCGTGGGAGGCGGCGACTATTTATTAACATAAAGATCCAGTCACATGTCGAAACGCTCTGGCTTAGGTGTGGTATGTCATATTTGTCCAGCTACTTAACTAGAAGTAAGATCACTAGCGAAGAGTTATCAAAACCTTTAAAATTGTCAAAGCCATCTTTGGATAGTGATGAAGAAGACTATAACGATAAAGATTGTTTCCGATTACATGAAGCAGATATAGATGGTAACTGGTTGTTTACTGTATATTATTCTACAAGGTCAGGAAGCTACGACTTTAGAGTATGATGATGAAGTTAAAATAACTCCATTTAACATGAAAGAAGAGCTTGAGGAAGACGGTCACTTCGATTCCGCTGGCACTTTCATTTTCAAGAAAGTTAGTAGAAAAATTATGATTAACGGTTACTGTTATTATAGCAAGTTGATGCTCGTGATAATTGGTTAGAAGATATTAATTGGCTAGAAGTCAAGAAAAACCAGGAAAAGAATTCATTGAAAGACACATCGATAAGCGATGAACTCGGCGGGAAAGTGCTAAGTAAAGAGGAGAAACTCGCTTTGTACCAAGAACTCTTATCTTATTTACAACCTTCTGAGACCGTTCTGCGCAGTATCAGACGTATGGGTGCCTGTTCAGATGCTAAGAAGTCCGCTTCAGCCAGCCAACGCTGGCTACGAAATAAAAATCCGAAAACTAAAACTGAGACGTAAGTGTCACATATGGTGTTGTACTTTTGGTTATGGCATACGTATTCCAGTATATCATGTTGTGTTAGAGACGATGTCTAAACAACTCATTAAAATTGTGATACGAATTAAAGTGTAGCGTTCCATTTGTTTCTAATTTTGAAATTAATATTTATTCACCAGCAGTGAAAAGGAATAACGATACGAACATCATGGAGAAATATTTCACTCTTTATGTAATTAGAGAAACCCATCGAAACATTCGGAATTGGAAGTATCATTTACTGAAAGGGTACAGCCGTATTTGTAATTATTTAGCACACACAAGTCTGTACTAAAATAGGTGTTACATTTAAAAAGTGGTCGGAAGTGTTTTCAAGTACTGAAAAACATTAAGTGGAAATAGATTATAGATAGAAGATAAGTCTGTGCTCACAGAATATTGGGAAAATGCGGATAAACAAAAAGAGGGGTCATAGCCTCTTAGGTTATAAAAACTAATAATATTTTGCGGCCCCCGGGCAGTACCACAAGTAACAAATCATGTTACTTGTTTGGCGCAAATGTATTTAGCGTGGTTTTTAAGGGGACTTCTATTGGTCTATTGGTTCCAACCGGACAACCATTTCTCACCTGGTGTTGTCCACCTTTCCATTCCGGTACTTCCTCAACAATCACCCCATAAAAAAGAATAAGAGCGTTAGATTCTCAGTAACTGAAATATGAACGTACCGTTTTGTCTGTGATACCAATGATTTGTACGACCACATCTGCCATTACACTTCCGTAGTTGTGCCACATTTTGTGCAATAAAATCAGGAAATCGCGGTTGTGGGTCCTAACCACAAAATGGATGAAACATATCATTGCAATAACAAACAATCCAAATTCTCGCTTCAGCGGTTTCAAATGGCAGCTGAGCAAGGTAGCATCGTCACATATTCTGTTTGGATGAACATCTTGGTCTGTGTTGTTGTATCTGTCATTGAACTCTCCGAGTTTATAGAAATATCACCTTCATGACAGCGTTGTATTCAAATTCATGTCCGTTCGATAGTTTGTAATATTTATTAGTTGGATTCCTGGTATCCCTTCATCCGTAGAAGTGAAGACTTGTATATGAGGTTCAGGTGCTAGTTATAACGTCAACGGTGTTTGAGACAACCATTTGATGCTTATGGAGATGAGAATTTCGACCCGTCTAATGGCAGTATGCTGTCCTTCCATAATTTTTGATAGCGATTAGAACGCTCGAAACAATACACCTAGTACTTTGTAAGTCACGTTTGTAGTTGAAATAAGGTGTTCATTTGATGAATAATTAAGTTTTATACCATTTTTCAGAAAAACAACATAATTACCATTTTAAAACTAGTCATTGTGGACCCCCACTACTGACGAGGCCCACAGTAGGACGAAACGCCCGTCAAGTGATTCTAGGTTTTTAATGGTTGTCAAACATTGATCGATTTATGGTCAAAATCAAAAAATTAATTTGATTGTACAGCATGGGATGAAACAAATTTTTGAACCAAAGATATATAAGTAGCCGTGTGATAAATGATTACCTACTTATGTCTGTTGCTCCTCGTGGAGGAGCATAGGCTACCCACCAACACTCTCTATCCAGCTCTATCCTGTGCAGTCCTTTCCAGCTAGTATTTATCCTTTTCATATCAGCTTCCGACTCCCGACTTAGTATGTTCTTCGGCCTTCCTCTTTTCCGTTTACCTCCAGGATTCCAAGTAAGCGCTTGCCTCGTGATGTAGTCTGATGATTTCCGTAATGTAAATCCTATCCACTTCCAACGTGTTTCCTTTGTTTCCTCTTCAGCCGGAAGTTAGTTTGTTCTCTTCCACAGTAGGCTGTTGCTGACGGTATCCGACCAATGGACATTGGGTAACTTTCGTTGACAACTGTTTATGAATACTTGTACCTTTTTGATGATGGTTGTAGTAGTTCTCAAAGTTTCAGCTCAGTACACTCGAACTGTCTTGACGTTCGTATTGAAGATTTTGATTTTTTATTGGTTTAAAGTTTTTTGAGTTCCATATGTTCTTTAATTGTAGGAGTACGGAGTTTGCTTTGTTTTGCAAATCCTCGCCTTTACATCTGCATCCTATCCTCCTTGTTCGTCGACGATGCTGATCACGTACGTGAACGATTTCACACCTTTCAGAGCTTTTCTATCGCGTGTGATTAGGTTGGTGTTCTTGTGTTGTTTTTGAGGATCTTGGTTTTTCCTTTCTGTATGTTGAGGCCTACTGATGCAGACAGAGGCTCCTGCGACACCGCTTGTCTTCACCTGCATTTGTTCATGTGCATAGAATAGAAGGTCCAGGTGATCTGCGAAGTCCAAATCTTCTAGTTGATATCGAGCTGTTTTGTCTGATTCCGGTCCTTACTTGGAATGCATCCGTCAGCTGTCCTCTATTCACAACTCTGCACTGCATTCCGTCGTATGAGTTCCGGATAACGTTGACAATCTTCTTAGGAACTCCACAGTGTCGAAGAAGATTCCATAATGTTTTCCTATCTAAATTGTCAAGTGCCTTTTCATAATCAATGAAGTTGATGTGTAGTGACGGATTCCACTCAACGGATTAATCGACGATAATCCGTAGTGTTACGATTTGGTCTGTGCAGAACCGATCCTTACGGAATCCGGGTTGTTGATCTCAAAGTTGAGCGTTCACTGCGTCCTTCATCCAGCTCAGCAACACTGTGTTGAAGACTCTCCCAGATATTCACACTAGTGTGATGCCTCTCTAATCTTACCATCTGCTCAGATTTCTGTGATGTTTGAACGAATTCATAATACCTTGGTACTTGTTGAATGCTCGATTTCGAATTCCAAATACAATACATTCGTTTGTGCTTGTGTCTCACTTCTTAATTCAATTGCGTTATTTCTGGGACTCTTAGTTAATACTACAATTCAAATAATTCAAAACATTATAATCTCCTTTCTTTGGAATCTTGATGAGGTGTCCTTCGTTCCAGTCCGTCGGGACTTGTTTCTGTGTGGCGCATATGTATTTGGTGCCTCCTTGTACTAATGCTTATGCGTTCAAATAAATAAATAAACCTACTTTGGCGTTCTTATGGTCTTTTTGCAATCTACTTAGGGTCGGCACTTGTTTCTCCCCCCAAATCTTCTTGAATAGAAGGTGAAGCATGTTTGTAGTTACTTCAATGTCTGGCTTCAGTGCTTCATCTAGTATATTGTCGGGTCCTGCTGCTTTCCTGCTCTTGATTTGTCTGATGGCCATTCTGATTTCTTTCGTCGTTGGTGGATTGACATCTATAGGAAGATAATAGATAGATTGACTAGTTGATAGATAAATGGATAGATACCAGAAAGTAGCCGATACATCTAAAAGGTTTGTTTTCTGAATTGTTGAGATAAATCTTTCTACTAGTTGAGTTCATAAGTCAATTAAAGCTAGACCATCATGGAAAACCTGGAAGCACTGGACAGCCGTTTTGTCCTAGTATGGGACTTCTCAGCAGCGTGCATCCACGATCCCACACCGCGAGATTTAAACCTGGGACCTCAACTAATAAATTACTATAATATTCACAAAAAGCCCTTCTGTTAATAAGTCGTTTTATTTAGAATACAATTCACCTTCTCATCCTTTGTCCTCAAACATCTCAATTTCAAGTACGTAAGATTGAATGTTTTGTATGGAGTGATTATTATCATGACCTGAAATCTTTTAATCTCTTCCATTTTCTCATATTAGAAAACGGTAAAATGCAATAAAATGTATACATCAATAACAATTCATTGAGTGTATCATATTCGTGAACTGTCACCAATATAAATAGTGAAGATTTCAGCTATTTTTCATTATTCTTCAGTTGAGAAATGGGAGCACAAATAGTGAAAGCTAACCTTGCTGTAACTATCTTATGGATATGGTGCTTAGTGACGACTGAAACAAACAATTGTTCAGTGCCAATAGTAACTGACGAAACAGGTAAATTGTATATTCTAAACATGAGTGTAATCTACGTGTTTGTACTTGAACTATGAATATGCTAAGTATTAGTTTTAGTGTGAGTAGTAGTAGTAATTGTAATAGTAGTAGAAGTAATAGTAGTAGTAGTTTTCGTAGAAGTAACCTGACCGACCTTCAGAATATCATATACTTAAATGAACTACTTTTCTCAGCACTGTTATCCATCGTTTTATTATGCATGATACCCAATCTCCAATTATAGTTGAGGCTTGTTATTCAACATAGACTGAACAGATCTACTAAAATGTGTTCAAACATATTATCAATCATCACTAGTGCAAAAAGAACAGTACTAAGTATTCACTTAATATTCGGAATCAGTCGTTCACTTTACAGAAGCTTCTCATTTCATTACTGTTCCTGATAGTCATTAAATCATTTCGATCACACAATCGCATGCTAAGCGTACATTTTGTTACACTCTTAGTGCATCAATGAGTATCCCGTACATTTTTCACTGAAGTCAATATATCTCAAGACTGCATTTCAATGTATTTTACTTGTTTTGACGTATTTTATTCACGTGTGTTTGTTGAAAACTTAAGATAACACTGTTACATTAGTCATCTCGGTCTCGAAATCTTTGTCAGTACGTACAGTCTGCCAGTAAACATAAGGTTAACAGTAGTTATCATAGTCAAGCATCATTTCTTTATTGTCCGACAGTTAATGACAACCAATGCAGTTTACAATTTTTCTTCGCACCTGAACAGTTCTTTTGCATTCATTAGCTTAACACTACGTGGAATCATATGCATCACCATAATTGTATGTAAGCATTTACATTATAAGTAACGAAGAGATAGTCAGTTTACATAACATATTTCCTCTCTTTAGGAACTATAAACTATACCAGCAAAATTTTCAATCTCTCATTAACGGAAGATCGAACATTAACAATACAAAACAAAAGTTGTACAACAGTATTAAAATTACCACCACCTTCTGAGGTGGAGAAAAATACACGCAGAGGATATCGTACCGTCTCCGTGTAAGTTACACTAAATCAGTGACTATAATGTTAATCAGGTGTTCAGTTTCCATTGTTTCATTTAAACATTTCATTTCTCTTGAGTGGCTGACTCAACTTTTGATGACAACCGTAATACACAGTCACCTGGATTATTTCAACATCGATTGTAAGCACCTATGACCTTCATATGTCGAGACAACAGACTAAACTTCAAACCACTGAGTCGACATTGTTGTGTTGTGTAGTAGTTCGATTCTGACGTTAATGCAATTTCCTCGTATATTCATGCTAAAATCAAATACTAGTATGAAATTCAAGTGCGAGTACGGTTCTTAATTAATGATATACACTTGATTAATTAGAAAACGGTAACTAACTCTTGATCAATAATACATGCATATCAGTGGACAATGTTTGATCAATCTGCTGAACCAGACTTTCAAAAGATTACATTTAGAAATATTTAGATGGTGTAATTTAGCCATAACAAAAAGATTCCACTGTAGACACAACCGTCTGTAATAACAAAATTGTCTCCAATTGTAGCATCACGCAGAAAGTTTCCCAAAACTTAGTTCATGTCTCTGACTTCCTGTTCACTGTCTTCATATTCAATTATAATACATCTCCAGACTAACCTATTTTGGCACACAAATAATTATGCTTCAACAAATGAAATTAAATATGATCTATCACTTTCAGTATTACAGTAGTACCTTATTTTATTCTTCACAGTTTATGTAACAATGATTTCGACAGAAACGAAGGAACCCCAAGAAGAAAAACATGCATATTTAATGTCAAATACTCTGAACTGGATTCCTAGTCGCAGTTTTGTTATCGCCATCATCAGCGGTAGTAGTGTCAATAATATCAGCAGTTTTATTAGCATAAATAGTAGGTGTCGTAATATTCATAGTTGAATAAATTTTATTTAGGATGGACAGAATTGTCTTTTGATTTTGATTTCTCTGGGTAACACAGCAAAAAATGTAACATGGGTAACCAAACACTCATTGTCCATACATAGAAACTTATTCTAGTTAGACTTCAAATTGATTCAAAAATGATGTAGACCTGGTTAAACAATGAGGGATCAAGATAGCTGATGAGGTGAATGACCTCGAAAGGAATTTCAGGAAACAAGTAGAAATCGAACATTGATGAATAATCATCACATCATCACTCTCTACGCTACGAGATTCCACCTTCTAAATTGCCTAATTCTCATTCAGCCATGACGACACAATAGGGAACTCAATAAGAGAAACAATTTCTAATCAAACTTGAATTCTGTGTTCAGCAGTTCCGATATCTACTCAACTGCCAGTAGATCCTTCACAATTCACTAATGATTTCTGTAGGTAGGAGTAATGTGATGAGTCTCATTTCATTTTATCCAAATTCGTCTACCAACACAGTAGAGAACTATGCTGAGAATTCCGTATGGTATTAACCATAAAATATTGAATAAAGTGGGCATCTTAACTATTGACTGTATGTATCCGCCTCATTTTCAGCATTTTTGAAACCGTCGGTTACGACTTGCATCGCAACATCAAACAGTTCATTTGGGAGCCACCATATTTGTTTCTCAGTTGAGATATTGTCTGCTGATGAGACTATGTAAAATACCTACTATTTTGATCTGAAACTATTTCAAATGGAATGATGACCACTCTCATTCCACCACTTCTTCTACATTTCAAAACACTTACATTCTCACTGTCGTTGATGAATATAATGAATCACAAAACACAGTTTCGACTACTCATAATGCTAATCAGACTAAAGTAATGTGGCATAGGACACAATTACACTTTGCTTATCAGGTCAAAATAAAAATGCCAAATGATGCGACATTGAAAAGATAATTCGAACATTTCAAGCTGCCAGTGAATAATAATAATAATAACTGTCAGTCAATACCAATGTTACGAGTTTTGATTCAAACGTCATGACAATCTTATTTCAGGGATCTGAAACTTGAAGAACTAATTTAGCCGCCATCAAATAGGTACAGACATTTATAAACGGCTGCCTACATTGATCTGATATCCTCGGTAATAATCAAGTCAGGTAGTTATCAAATCAGCATCCAGCTGAAAATGACGTTAGCAGAAGATCCAAAAGTTGGGTAGGTCACATTTTACGGAAGTCGTCGAATTGCATCATGAAGAAAGTTCTGAACTGAAATGCGAAAGGCAAAACGTACTTAGTGGTAACAGTAGCAATGTCGATGAAACTTCAAGTTCCCATACATACGAATTTTCTTGGTTGTGTTTCATCAGACAGAAAGAGAAACTCAATACATTCTTCATTATGAAGGGCTGGGTGAATCTGTTTTGAATGCACGATTGATGAGGAAATATGCAAGTCCTATCAAATATTTATCAAACGTGACTATTACTCTTGGTTCTTTTGACAGAAACATTGAACCTAAACTACAAATTGGAAGACCTCACAAAATTCCAGAAAACCACCATGGAGTTTAAGTTCTAGGAAGATACCGCTGCAGAACATTTGAATTGAAGTTAAACGACGTCTTAGAATGAACCCTCTATGCTGTCAAGAATTGCATCGTTTATTCTTATCTCCCCATCACTCGTGAGTGTGTCAAAGATAATCTGCCGAATTGGGCTAAATCAATGCTCATCTGTGTGTTCATTTGCTTTTGTAGAACAGGTTCCATTCGCTGCATAGAGCAAGCGCTTCCCAAAAGCAACTCCGAACGTTATTTGTCTGTCCTTCCTAAGGTGAATTATATCTTTTTATTATCTTTCTTCGAATTCTTGAAAATTAGGCAATTTTTTCAAACATGTGATATGATATAATCACCATCACATGTTTAAATAGACTGTTTCATTTGTTGCTCAACAATTAATATGATCGTACAGCTTGAGTAAGGAAACTTCACTCGTTGAAATGTCTTTAATTCTCCTAATATGACACCGTAGGTTGATTTAGATAGCCAGATATTCTTCTGAATAAACAACAATTTCGAGATCATTAAAACAATATAAAACCATTTAAACAAATTTCCCAAAACCAATACTGATACTAAGTTTATTCCTTGGCAAACAAGTGTTTAAATAAAACGCCTATCAGTGATAAGACACCTGAAAAAAAGCATTCTTCACTATAGATAATGAAAAGGAGAAGACAGTTGATATACGTGATAAACCATTGATATCATTATTTACCTGAAGCTGTCAATGTTACATTGGGTTGCTCTGAACTACAACTGTAAGGGAAATCTCTTGATCAACGGAACATTTAGTAATTTGATAGCGTCTACACAAATATTAAGTGCCGTTTGGTCTGGAATAACACCAACTAATTTGATTATCTATCTCTTACCATTCAAACCGTACATATGTCTATGATCGAACAGGACGACTGCCTAGTATCACTGCGTGATTTCGAAACTTATCCTCAGGATCGATCAAACAATAAAAACAGGTGTGTCGGCGGTGTAGCTACGTGTTTAAACGTAAACTGGTGTCGATCATTGTTTGTGTGTTTTAAGTTTTCAAATGACTTTATCGACTGTCTAACTCTAAGATGTCGTCCAAAACACCTGGATAAACACAAATATATTTATGTTACCAATATCTACGTGACTCCAGACTGCACATCATCTGCGCTATCCGTTTTCGCTGATGAATTCACTGAGTTCTCTGTTACTGCCTTCAGTGATTCACTTTCAGTTGTATGTGGTGATTTCAATTCATGTGACTGTAGCTTCCTTACATCACCAGGACACCAAAATGTAGTAGATTTTCCTACCCGTTTGGATGCTCATTTAGACTTCGTTTTCATTAGCGATGTGTGTATATATGCGACTCGTAAACGTGCTCCATTGTCTTGCTCGGATCACAGTATAATTCGTGTTCTACCTAAAGTATATGGAAAGCATGGGAAGAGTACACTCTTACATCAAACCAAGAAAGTCCAATATAGGAATTACTCAGACGAAAACATC